CCGCGTCACCGAGCGGTTCACGCGACAACGCTCACATTGCGAATCGCGCCCGCCGCACGTACACATACACACCGTCCACATACACACCGTACACATACACACCGTACACATACACACCGTACACAAATACACACCGCACACGTACACCGACACGAATTGTATCAACACGCACACACACATACATACGTACATACACTCTGTATATATATATATATATCCAAATATACTCTCATCTTATCACACGAATCCGTCTCAAATTACGTTATTACCGCCTTGCATCTCTCCTCCTGATCTTCAATCTTTAAAAAAACGAATTCGCTCTAAAAGATTATCTTTGCAACAAGTATGCAACCGAATTGCAGAAGAAGAGAATATCGATGTCGAAATTAAATCTTCTATCACTCCAGCTTATGTTCCTAAGCAACTTTGTTTCCCTAATCCAAATATTACTGATCATTTTACATGCGAAAAGCTAATTTATAAAAACATGAAATTATCAGTTAAACTTCCCGATAATACTGTAGAAGTAGATAATCAAATTTATGTTATCAAAGAGATTATTTTCATTGAGGGCAAATACAAATGTGTAGGAACTACATTTAAATACGTCGATAATTTGTATCGATACCCAATACACTCATCTAAACTGGGAATTTATTATGTAAAAAGTATCGACATTAATACTTCTACTACATTTTTTATTGATGACATATCCCACAAATGTCTCCGATTACCATTTAAAAATGGTTTTGCAGTTTTTCCCATAATTCACCATGTAGCTTAATAATTTGTATTAAGGAGATGCTGGAGTGGCCAAATTGTCGGTAATTTGCAGGTCAATTTACATCTCCGAATTTACTTAACGAAATCAAAAATCCTTTTACAGGGTTAAAATAGATGCAAAATTCTGTCGTGATGCAATAGATTTGTACGAAAATCGAAAAAAAAGTTAAAAACTTACATTTTTTTTCAACACGTAGAGCTGTCAACTAATGTAGATTACACAAGTTTTATAGCTCGTATGGACCAAAC